ATTCTAACATTTTTTGGATTTTTATTTTTAAATATTACTAAATAAATAAATATAATTAATATCATAAGTACAAATAAATAAAATGAATAAATAAAATACATAATATAATAAAAAAGGTAAAACTTCCTAAAAAACTTGCTGCATTTTTCAAGATTCTAACATTTTTTGGACTTTTATTTTTAAATATTACTGCATATATCCATTGTATTCAACCTAAAAAATAACCTGCATACAACATATTCTTAATTTTGAAACTAAGGTATAAACAAAAAATTTAAAACAAGTAAATTAAAAATTGTTGTATACAGGCTATTTTTGTTGTTTTATTTGTTGTTTATCCCTTAGTCTTAAAATTAAGAATATGTTGTATGCAGATTATTTTTTAGGTTGAATACAATGGATATATGTAGTAATATTTAAAAATAAAAGTCCAAAAAATGTTAGAATTTTACAAAATGCAACAGGCTTTTGAGGAAGTTTTACTTTTTTTATTATATTATATATTTTATTCATTCGTTTTATTTATTTGTACATATGATATTAATTACATTTATTTATTTAATAATATGTAAAAATTATATACAATTAATATATGTGCAGCCATCTTTAAAAATAAAGGTAAAAAAAAATGTTAGAATTCTCACAAAAAAAAAGGTTGGAATTCCAAAAAAAAAACCATTAGGCTTCTTGGAGAAGCTTTCTCATTTTTTTATTTATTATAGGTATAAGCCGGACAAAGTTAACGGAAATATAACAAAAAAAGTGACGGAGGTGACAGACGGTAGACGGAAGTTAGAGATAAGGGCTATTTTCTTCTATTGTTATAGGTTAGGGGATAAAATCGTTATATTATAAAGTGAAGGGCTAAAACCGTCTAACTTATCAAGGTAAGGACTATTTTTAAGCTTTTGCCGTAGGTAGGGGTCCCAAACTGATTAAGATCTGACTACACACCCAATGAACAATGGTTCTTTTTCATTATGCTAATGAAGTGGGAAGTGGCTTTAGTGTGCGTTGGTTGTGATTGGAACTTTTAACAAAAATTTTGTTAAAAAAACATTATTGTAGGAGTATTATTTTTATAAATTTTTTAAAAATAAAAATAAAATGTTAATTTCATTAATATCTAAATGAAAAATTCTTGCAAAAACACTAATTTAATGCTTCTAAGATTTACAATGAAATGAATAAAATATTAATTTATGAGAAATTATAATATTTTTCACAAATTATAGTGTTTAGTGTAATTAGAGTTTTTAGAGTATAAAAGAATTTTCAACTAACTGTACCAAATATAACCTTAATCTCAATATTTTCATGAGTCTTTGCTTATTTTTTATCAAGTGAAGAGGCTAAATACAGATTATTAA